GCCGCCGAGCGCGTACATACCGGGACCCCCTCATAGGGAGACGAGAACCCCAGTTTGAAGGGCCAGGGCTGGGGGAGAGACGAGCACAGGGTGAACGGGCGCGGGGAGCCCTGCGGGGTGAGGCCCCCGCGGCCCCGAGGGGCGGAGCGCGCCGCCGTCACGCAGGGGCCGTCGGGAGGCCCCGCCTCCTCCCCACCCGTGTTTGAAGCCGGAGTGGACACCCGGGAAGGAGGACCGGAAGTTCCCGCCCCAGGGCCTAGGCCCCGCCCCCGACCGAGCCGAGGCCCCGCCCAACCGCCCGACCACGCCCTCTCCAACCAGGCGCCCTCCCTCCCTAGTCCTTGGCAGGCCACGGGAGGCCCCGCCCCTGACAGCCAAGGCGGGCCACGCCCCCACCGGCCACGCCCCCGGCCACGCCCCCCACCGAAGCTCACCGCGTTCTGCCGCAGGAGCGAGAGCCTGCGGAAGGCGATGCTCTCGGCGGCCTCCAGCTGGCTGATGTCCTCCATCTTCACCCTGTACTTCCGCATCTGCTCTTTGATCAGCATCTCCACGCACCTGCGGGACCGAGGGAGGGGCCCGGTCACCCCTGCTCTGAAGGAGGCTGCCCGGGAGGGTGGCACCCCGTGGTCGGCAGGTCGGGGCCCCCACCCCCCACATAAGTATGGGATGAAGAGGCTGAGTGCCTCACAAGCAGAGGTGCTGGTCAGGCAGCGGGACCCGGCCTGCGGTGGCCAGTCAGTACTGGGTGGACTTGGTCAGACACTCGGCCCAAACTGGCCTCTGGCATCAGTGCAGGGGGGGAAGGTGGGGGACGGACAGACTCGGGCAGGGCGCTCTCTGTGCATGTGCAGGCCAGCACCCCACACATGAATGGGGGGAATGGTGACGCAGAGCTCCGTTGCAGCTGGCTGGGCTCTGGGCATCTTTGCAAGTTTTTCTACAGCGTCGGTGTGGAGGGGTGGAGCGGGCAGGGGTCCCCGGGCCCGGCACTCACATGGTGATCTTGAGCACGTCCTTCATGCTTGTCAGTGGGTCTGAGGTGTCGGGGCAGCGCAGCAGGCAGGGCGCAAAGATGATGGCCAGGGCCCCGGGCGACATGCGGTTCACATCCTCCAGCAGGGCCACCCTGTGCGGCCACCGACAGTCAGGGGCTGCAGGGCTGGGGGGGCCACGTGGGGGTCTGGGGGCGCAGCCCTGGGGCTCCGGGGCTGGGGTGGGGGCGCCACGCGGGGGTGTGGGGGCACTTGCTTGACCAGGTGGAAGATGAGCCGCTCCAGGGCCGTGTGGTTGGCCTCGGGCAGGTGCTCCAGGACGGCGTAGATGGCGGCCAGCTGTTCCTGCTTCTCGGGTAGCTCTGGGGAGGCCAAGGCGGTCACCCTGGGCCCTGGGGCCGGTGCCCACCCCGGGCCACCCGCGGGCGCGGCTCACCCACGGCGCGCAGGAAATCGCCGTACTGCGCGAAGGTCATGAGCGGCTCTGGCAGCTCCCGCAGCCACTGCTTCAGGACGCCGGTGATGGCGTGGATGGGGAAGTCCTCCAGCTTCACCGTGGCTGGGTCTGTGGGGCCAGGCCGGGTGAGCAGGGCCCGCATCCCCCCACGCCGGGGGTGCCAGGCCGGGGCCCACCGCGCCCACCTGTCTGCAGCGCCTGCCGCAGCTCCCGCGTCCGGTTGGCCGCGCCTGACTTGCGGTAGAGGCCCTCGGTGTACAGGCCATGCATCTCTACATGTTCCAGAAGCTTCTCCAGCACCACGGGCACGGAGGCTTTGTCACTGGTCAGGCTGCCCACGCACACTCCGAAGTGGCCCGGCTCAGCGCCGGGCTCGGCCTGACATGTCAGGGTGAGGGGTGTGGGGTGAGGGGAGGGGTGAGGCCTGGGCGGGTGGCAGCCACAGGCACTCTGCCCCTCTCAGCCTCTGCTCTGGGTGCACAGCTCTGGGGTGCCTGGTGCCGGGGGCAGCCCGCAGGCCCTGGGCGGGGGCTCCTCCACAGCTGCCCAAGCCTCCAACGGCCGCCGCTCTGCTGCCCCGTGCGGAAGCTCAGCTCCTCTGTGCAGGGACGCGGCTGCTCAAGCCCGCACAGGACCCGTCCAAATGGACGCAGGACTGGGGGACAATCTTCCCCCCTCCGCCTGGGAGCACAAGGACCCCTTCCTGCCGCCCCCCCAGGCCTGCCGCCCCCCGTGCCTGCCGCCCCCCCAGGCCTGCCGCGCCCGGCGTCCGGGGACACCCACCTTCCTCCCGCTCACGTAGGAGCAGTAGCTCTGAATCTTGTGCACACACTTCTTGTGGCAGGTCATCTTGCACACTAGGAGGTCATATGGTCACCACGGGTGTGTTGGAGACCCCAGGTGTCTGAGGCTCCCTTCCCACCCCGTGGGGAGGGCTCAGGCAGCTGCTGCGCTGGACGTGGGGGGGGATGAGGAGTTGCTTTGGGGACCTCGCTGAGGGGACTTTGGGGTTCTGCTATGCCTGGGTGTCCGTGTCCCCTAGGGAGGAGGACAGGGGGTCAGGGAGTGGGAGCACTGAGGACCACGGCCCCGCGGCAGAGTCCACAGCAGGGTCCGCGTGAGAAGGGCTGTTGTGGGGGGGGGGCTGGGGGGGAGGGAGCCTGGCTGCGCTCACCGCTGCACAGCAGCGCCTTGTCCATGAGCCAGATGTAGGAGAGACACTGCTCGCACGACTGCGGGATGCTCACTTGGTAGCTGGCGAACACGTGCCCGTTGTGCTCCTGGACCTGGGGGGTGGGGGCAGCTGAGCAGGTGCCCCGCCCCCCCACCCCCTCCCAGGCGACTTTACTCCTGGGCAGTGAGACAATTCACACCCCAAACACATGTGTGTGCACACACCAGTAAGCACTAGCGCATGTGCGCACACACCCAGGAGCAGTACTCACAGCACGTTC